GGGTCCACTGTTCTGCGCTGTGGACCAACATGTCATATCCTTTCTATTTAGAGGATGAATGAAGTTACAAAAAATAGGGGGAGGGGGGGAGAGAGAGAGATACAGTTATCTGTACAAACTGGCCCAGAAATGGAACATCTCTGAGAAGATGACAAAACTTAACAGCAAATATACAATATTGTGAAACCATATCAGGAAAATATCAAACACAGCTTTTTATTAAAAAGCTTTTCCTTTTATTCCTGCTACTTTAATAATGTCATTTAAAAACGCTCAGATACCTATAACATAATTACATTTTTTCTTTTTCTTTTATGCCGCATTCTGTGTATTTTCTTATTTATGAATTGTGTTTAATCTCACTGCATTGTTAGTCTATATCAGCTTTTAAGATACAAAGTACAAAACGCGGTCAGTGATATAATCTTTTTTTGTCTAGCCACAGGAATAAAATCAAAACATACACACAAATCTAAACAACTTGTATTGTGTCCTGGCACAAGAAGAAAGGAGAAGCTTAATACAGGAAGCTCTTTTTTTAATTGTTTGACTCCATGGATGCCTTCAGATGGTGAAAGCCTGCTGTGGCCACCATTTAAGATATCACCCTGCAATGCTTTTTGTGTGTTGGGTAACGTTTAATAAACTTGGCAAATATTGGTGGTAGTCTGCTCAAACAATTTATTATGTGGACTCTGACTTTGCGCCCTCACATGCCCTCGTGTGTTTTTAATATAGCAGGTTTCCTCTCATTCCTTTTTCTTAAATGAAATGTCAAACTTCAGTGAGCTGTGAGATTCACATATTTTGTAATGGCATAGTTTACTGTGCTCAGTTCGTGAAATTGAATTTCAGATAGCTTGAAGAAAACAAGGTGGTAACTGGCTCAGGTGTAAGGCTTTGATTAAATGTTTTCTTCACTCAGTTTTGAGATATTTTACCCGTTCAGCTTTGCCTACACCTCACACTGCTCCCGATGTGGCTGTAGCAATAAGTGAGAGATGCTCTGCAGTGTGTTTCTGTTTGTCTTTAGGAGGTTTACCTGTCATGATAGCATAATTTCTTTATTTAATTGTTTTTGTTTGATCAACTCTCTCCAGTAGTTTGTGGCAGAAACAGAGTACAGAGAGTGAGACAAGAAAACGTCAGTGAAGCACAGATTAATCACACTCCAGGAAGATAACATAAATAGCAAAACACCTACAAGTGGAAATCTTATTTTATGTTCAGTCTGTTCAGTCAATGGAAGAAATCTATTAAAGGTACAGAAAAATGGTTTGGCTTGTTTTTCACTTGAACTTTCATTGTTTATTACAGTTTTTTGCTTGATGAAGTGCTCTGCAATGTTTTGAAAAATTTTAAATACTCCTTATTAATTAATATTAATTAATATAAGTTATTGAGCCTTTGACTCAACAAGGAAACTTCAAATCTTCAAATGTATGTGAAGTCAATAGAAGCAGAGTGGCTGGCTGAATGAATACATGGCTTCCATCCTCTCATGAAACTTTACACCATTATTAATAGGCTGTCTCATTTCTTTCAGCCCTTGCTGTATCAGTTTTGTCCCTCATACAAAGTCAGCACAAATTGTGGTTTCCTTTGAATTGCGAATATAGCACACTGTAACAATAATGTGAAAAGCCTTATGATGCGCGAGGCACAGATGTTTTATCACGTATGTGCTTCCCTGCTCCGAATTAGTCCTGCCTCAGCTGAATAGCTCACAGGGACAAACCTCATAACCTGCTCCCTTTCATCTGTGTGTGCACCATCACTTACACCGTGTGATATCTACATGAAGTGTTTCTCCTGCTGCAGGAGCTGACTTTTTATCATTGCTTTTCCAGATGTGACAGTTCAGAAGTTTATTAAGTTTTGCGAATAAATACGTATTTTTAGGGAAATTGTGCATCGTTTCAAAAACACCAGCTTTCTGATAGGTTGGGTTTTTATATCAGATGTTTCATATTTATGGTGGGAGGAGTCGGAGTTGTTGATTATTTCAAAATATGTTGGCTCTGCATCATGCTGACATTACGCTTTCAGGGTATTTCCTCAATCAGCCGCAGAATGTATTATTATTTATTCTCCAGGGCAATGACCATCTTGTGATATAAAAGCGACTGGAACCAGAAGGTGGAACTGCTAACTCACACTGTACGTTCAGTTGAACGGTCACACAGAATTGTATTAGATTTAACATGTTCTTAAATTACTTTTTAATAATTGCACTGGGCCTTCAGATGTTTTTAAAGCATATTTCAGTATCTATTTTAGTAGCAGATGATACACAGCACACTATTGGCTTATGATGGATGAGAGGCAACCAATCAGGTTGCCTGTTTGAGCAACATCGCTGAAAAAATGGAAACAAAAACCACGATGGCCTCCAAAAGAAGTGGTAATCAGTCCCTATCACTTTGGAACCAAGTACATCACATGGAAAGCAATGAAGGAAAACAACGTGATATAGTGTAAAAGAAGTATTTCAGAGGCAGATTCTCTCATGCATAAAGATGGGCAGCAGTTTAGCAAGAGAATTATGAAGAAATTTCACAACACTTTTCAGGTGAATATTTTAAATGTTTAATCAGCTGCAGTGCATAATATCACAGACTCAGATTTTCTCCCATGTAAAGCACTGCATGGACACGGGAATGCTTTCATAAAACAGTAATCGAGCCGCTCCCAAGTGGACATTAAAGCTTTGTTATGCAAAGTCATCTTGCTGCAATGTTTTAAGGACCAGAGCTCAATAAAAACAAAACTGAGCTAAAGAGAAAACAGTTGTCTGAACAGAGTATTTGACAGACATTTCAATTTCCTTTTGTATACCCGGGAGTGTCCATCCACCAAACTAATCATATAGGGGTAAATTGATGCATAACTTGCACACTTGAAATGGTAACAGGAATGCTGAAAGCTTTTTGAAATCTGCTTTAGGGGAGTGTATGCTCTCATCCAGACTGTCCTTTTGACAGAAAACATTTGCTACATGAGGAGACACGAATCATGTTGGGATTGGGACTTATATCGACAATAATTTTAAAAAATCATGACTGATTTCTTCTATATCTAATGTTTATGAATTAATTAAGCATATTGTCCCAATTTTCTTTGGAATTTAGAAAACCATCACAGACAACTATCACAGTAGTGAGAATGTCTGGTAAAATGCAAAGTTCAAAGCCTTACAGAAACAGAAAGGCTGCAGAGTGAATCTTCTTTAGCAGGAGGATGACCACTCTTCCTGCTACTCAACAGTTTCAGTTTGTTGTGGAAGATTTTCTTCTTATGTCACTACATCACTAGTTCACATTTTTGTTTGAAACGTTCTCAGAGGCCCAAATGTGTATCTGCCTCTCTTTTTGTCACTCATTTCAGTACATCTGCATGGATCCATAATGTAGGGCTTGTGGCTGTAGTTTAATGTACTGCTTTAATTTCCAAGATGTCTTAAACAATAATTAGAATCGGCAGCTAACAATAATATTGTAGCTTAAGAAAATTGTCCTATGTGAGAGACACTGAGACACCTTATGCTGTGTTTTATGAGCAATCAACAAGAAACCAGGGCTGAACGTATATATGTCGAATGAGGGTTTGGATAATAAGTGCATCATTTAAATGAAATCCAGGCATTCATTATACCCAAGAGACTGTTGCAGAGTATTCATGCAAATTATGGAAAAAATATAAGAAAAAACAGAATAGGTAAATTAAGTAAAGGTCAAATCAATTCAATCAATGTTGTACAAAAGATTTATAACAATTTCATAGTGACAAGAAGTTATGCTAATTTTCTAATTGACAAACAGAATTATGCCATTGTCTTTAAAGTCAAACCTTGATTTAGCATTATTTCTCTAATCAGAGTGCCCTAACAATTATTGAACATGTTGTTGTTTGTGGCTCGTAAAAAGAATTGTCAACATTTCTCATAATATGTGATTTTCTCTTACTTTATCCACCATTTTCACATATAATCCTTTTGGGATAGGTAAAGTATTTCATTCAATAGGTTTTTTTGGGGGACAAATGTGATATTATGCAACACTAATCTGAAAGCAATACGATATTACTCTTCTGCTGCTACTGCTCTAAAAGCTGCTGAGTGCATCTCTGAGTCGGATGCTTTTCTATCTTTTTTAATATTGCTAGGTTGTTGACAAGGATCTTCCAGTCACGAGTATTTGAGTGTTACATTTTGTGTGACATTCTGGCACAGTTATTCACGCATCCATTTTTGTGTCAACAGCTACCTGGAGGAACTTTGATTCCCTGTTCCCTTCATAATTTGAGTAGATTTTTGATGGAATAATAGAATTGATGATATAATTTGTAATAAAATTAGCACGTATATGCTGATTATTACTATTGTTTTTTTAAAAAGGGCTTTAGACAAAGGAAGTTACTGTTCACATGCTCAAAAACTTGGATAAAATGTATGTGTATTATACTTCTTTACATGGAGTGGTTGGAATAGTCACTTAAAAGAGGCTAGCTCCCGATGAAATCAGAAGGTAGCAACCTGTGCTCATTTGGTGGTGTTATGTTTCCTTCCACCAATGGGAGAGGGAGGAGGATGGGTTTGAAGAGATAAGGGGCTAACTGAATGTACACCGAATAACTCCAAAACGAAAAATGCAGTTCAAAGTTGATTGTTGAAAGCTGGTTTTTAAAGATATGCAAATAAGTTGACAGTAAGAGGATTTGCGTTCCTGCCTTTGAATAAAAATTTGTGCAGCCGAATTGGTATTCTGTGCAGTTGTCAGACTGATAGCGGGTCTCCACTTGAACTAAGCTTGGTAAAAAAATTACAACAATGTTTTACCCTACCTATGCAGCACATCCACATTAACTTTCCATAATTATTGGGAGGTCTGGCTTAGCTGACTGCAGGGTCAAATTATGTTTAATGTTTGAACTACATGTTTAATAATGCATGAATTTATTCATATGTGTGTTATTTTACTTGCTTTCTCTTATTTCCTTACACAGGGAGTGCTTACAGAGAGTGCATGGATAATGGAACATGGGCGTTGAAGATCAATTACTCCAATTGTGAGCCCATTTTGGAGGAAAAGGTTAGCATGCTGACATGGAAGCAGTTCTGTTCATTTTTAAGCTCACCCGTCTAATCATATCCTTCATAAAGTCTTCAATTAGCTTGATGGGTTCCAGGAAAAATATAGTGTCTTAATGTGCTCACCTAATGTTTTTAATAAAAACTTAATGATATCCCGTTTATTTTGTGGTGTACTGCTGATAAATGCTTCAAGCCAGTGTTTCCTGATGACAAAATCACTAAATGTAATATGTATTAATTCAAGCAAATGCTGAGAGAGAAACTGTAAAAGTGGTGTACTGTAACGGGCTGTGGCCTGGTTAGCTCTAATAGTGTCTCCTATGTATTTTTGGGTCTTGCTCTACTTTTTCAAATAATTTTAAGCCAAGACATTGAAGTGTGTCAATGACATTTGCTGACTTTGATTTTAGTCAAACTTTCACAGCAAGAGGGAAAAAGAAGGTTGTCCCATGTAGTATTGCATAGTCACACATAATAACATCTAGTTATTGATAATTGTATCGATCAAAAGCGCTCTGAATAGTGCCAAATTGTTAACATGAACACTTCAAACTCTTTTTTAGCTTTGGTCAAATCCAAAATAAACATGAACTTCAGTTTTCAATTAATATGAACTTTTGAAAAAATATCATTACACCGATCAAATGGCCCCTATATGCCATTGCCTATTAAAACAAACATGCCATTGCCTATTAAAACAAACAAGGAACTTTACACACTAAATGAAAAGGGAAAGGTTGTTTTTATGTCTTATTGCATTTCTAACTTTTTCTGTTTGCTCCATAATCCAGTTGTTGTAAATCTTAAGCCCTCTATATGTTGTCTTTCCAGAGGAAATACCCCATGCATTATAAGATAGCACTGATCATCAACTACCTTGGCCACTGTATTTCTGTGGGAGCTCTAGTCATGGCCTTCATCCTCTTCTTGTGCTTAAGGCAAGTACAGAAATAATCCAAATGAGGCTTGTATGCATGAGACCACGCAAAAGATAATCAGTGAAATTCATGCCATGTCTTGAGACTACTTACCATTAACTCGTTTATGTCAGATGAACAGATCAGGGCAGCTCAGTTCAGTGCACCACTCTGGTTGAGACAGTCCTGATGTATGCGTGCTATATTCCCATTCAACACTTCCATCTCTGAGGCAGCTTAGCATCTTTGGATGTTCAGTTTTCAATTAATACACAGACACCCTCGACTGCTCCGTGTACATAGTTTGACATCAAGCTTCATTATTACCATAAATGTATTGATTATCTCATAGAAGCACAACAGCCCACCTATCAATATTCATATTTAGAAATAAGAAATTTGTAATAAAATTCAGTCAAGTTGTTTTCAGAGACAAGATAACGACATGACTCATTTACGAACATATTTTTAGTTTGACCTACGTTCTGTCACTAGGTGTCATCGTTATCATCAGATAAGTTTGCATACTTTGAAAGGATTTGTTTGCAAGGCATCAATTTCTGTTGATTACATAGTGTATTGTATAGAGTGGAACATCTGGAACATTTGCAACCCTACTTGCAAGCTTATTTTTTGTATTGATGAATTGTTCTTAAAAGCATTACGTTAAAGCAAATAACAAACATTTGGTTTCTGTCGCAGGAGCATACGATGTCTTCGAAATATCATCCACTGGAATTTGATAACCACCTTCATTCTAAGGAATGTGATGTGGTTTTTGCTTCAGCTCATTGACCACAATATACATGAGAGTAATGAGGTAAAAACTCGAATATATCATATAACAGTTAAAAAAACATAAATGTAAATCAGTTTAAAAAAATCAGTTAAAAAAACTTACAAATGTTTTTAGTTTCTATAGCAAATGACCAAAACAAAGTATAAACAATTCATAATATTGTTTGTTTTTAATTTTCTTTTGGGCTCTCCTTCTGTTTCAGCCTTGGTGTCGACTAATTACGACAATATACAACTATTTTGTTGTGACAAACTTTTTCTGGATGTTTGTGGAAGGATGCTACCTTCACACAGCCATAGTAATGACTTATTCAACTGACAAGCTGAGAAAGTGGGTGTTCCTCTTCATTGGATGGTGTAAGTATGGTCATACTGCTCTAGCTTTACTCGGCTCAAAATGTTCTACTTGTGTATCAGAACTCAAATAATGTAATGCAATATAAGGGTTAGAGAAGACCGTTTTAAAGGCGCTAATATACACAGCGATAAATTACAACAACAACAATCAAATTAATTATGATGTTAATATTAATTCTAATAATAATGATCATAATAATAATTATGATGATGATGATGATGATGAGGATGATGCATTTTCCCTTTCAGAACTTTTCTGGTTTTCTTTTCCTGGATATATCGAGATTATGTGTTTAAGACAGTCAACGTCTGAAAATGCCACGGCCATTAAAAAAATAATTCCCTCTGTTTTTATTCTTTTAATTGTTTCAAATCTGGGAATCATTATTAGGTGCATAATAGTTGGGATTTGTGGCTGAAGCTGCATTACTTAGAGTTTAACATGATTTTGGCAGATAAATTAACTGAGACCATGAAAATGTAGCAACAGCTGAGACAGCCTTTGTGATGCAGGTAGGAGAGCACATGGAGGTTGAAGCATATACGATCAATATAATTGTCAAGATGTGTACGCCAATGTCAACTCTAAATGTGAAATGGCAATATTGATCTACCCCATATAATGTATTAGTTTTACAACAAAGGCTGTAAAATGATGACATGGTTACATAAATTATGTAGTCAGGGAATTCTTTCAAGAGCAAATTGGAACTCATCCGGCTATGATTCTGAGTTCTATACCTGGAATTGGTTTATTTGAAGGTTCTGTTTGAGCATTAGTCTGTAGTCTGCAATATTTGTCATATTAGTGAAAAAACTAATTATCAATCCTTATAAAGGAAGTCCCTGTCCCTCAAGCAGTTAGCTAGGGTTTCAGTGGAGCAATGCAAAACTTAAGAACAAAGTAAAAAATACAGAAATACAGAAATTTCCAGCTTCACAGTATTAATTAATACAATTTTTTTGGGGGGTTATTTCATTGTCACTCGGGAGAAGAACAAATATTACCACCTCACCTAAATTGTCATTGTAAGCACCACTTGTTCCAAACACCACAGTGGTTAAAGCAAATGTTCCCCCTTTTGTGCTTCACATTAAATATGTAGAAGGTTTCAGGGTTGATAAAGGTCACAGAACTCACAGTTTGAAGAATTTTTATCTTCAAACTGTATCTCCCTAAATGGAAAAACTTTACCAACGTTGTCCATCTGACCATGATTGAACTTTAACTATCATTTAAAAAAAATAATAAACCGGGACATAGCAAAACTGGATTGTAACCGATTTTTGATATTTAATGAAACAGCTCCACTCTGAGTTCAAGTAAATATTTTGACCACACTTGACCACACGGGAAATTTTGACAGATAGCTCCCAGAATAATGGGTTTGCCGGAATGGCTCAGACAGACAGATGGACAGTCTGAGAACTTTTGCCTCTGGCGGCAGCTGTTGTTTTTGTTGCACTGAGACATGCTAAGTAGATCTTGGCAGCGCAAATGATATGAGATTGTTGATGACAGATGGATGACATGTTTCGGGAGATTATGGCTTTAAAATAGAAATTGTCAGAGGCTGATCACAAAATGTAATTTTTATGATCTAGTGATTCAAATGGAAGTTATTTGTTATATCTTTCTTCATCATATTCTGACCATCTTGAACATAGATATACTCTAAAATCCGTGAGGCTGGATAAGCTTTACGGCTTCCAATAGTAATATCCATTGTGAAGTGATGGAAAATTAACAGATTAAGCGGACTGTGTTAAATTGTCACAAGAGTTTAAGCCAACAAATTCTCATTCTGAAAACTTGACATACTGAAGCTTCAGCAGGAGACTGCTGTGTTTATTTTCAATACAGACAATACCTCCACAGATTGATTTTGGAGTAGTTTGCTGGACTGCTAGACAAAAATAGCTCTGGACCAAGTGTCGGTACGTTGCAATATGGCAAAGGGAATACGCTTTCTCACCATCAAAATGAGCCTTGGCCATGTATGTATCCACTCTTCTAAAAGTCACTCCCTTTGTCCACAGTGCCATTTGTACATGTTTTGTAGGTGGAAAAGTGAAAGTGTTTCTGTTTTGATGCAACAGCAGTGGAAAATTCATATTGAAAATTCTGGAAATTCAGCTTAAGTTTTTTTTTTTCTCAGATGAGAAACAATATTTCTCTTTTTGATACTATGTATCCTAAATTTCCTGTATTGTGAGGAATTTTGAGTGAATTTACCAAGGAAAGATCCATGAAGAAACATTCTTATTGTATCTCGTCTACATGAATCTTTTTTTTTTTTCAGGTATTCCATGTCCTATAATCGTGGCTTGGGCCATTGGAAAGCTATATTATGAAAATGAACAGTGAGTATTTGAAATATGGATATTTTCTTTGTCGAGTGTTTGCCTCACTTCATTATCACATTCTTTTTCTGTCAAAATAGATGCTGGTTTGGGAAAGAGCCTGGGAAATACATGGACTATATTTACCAAGGACCAGTTATTCTTGTACTCTTGGTGAGCAGCAACACAGTCAGATACCACAATTGACTTATTTTTTAGCACTTTCATAGATGATATGCATTTATGAAAGTTTATCCAGGATACGAATCATAGCTTTCAAGAAGTAAAAGCATGTATGTTATAAGATCCTTATTACTGTGTAATATGAAAACTAATTACATGCACAGTGTGCAGTTTAGTGAGCAACAATAATTAACTGTATGGATATGAGTCATAGAGTTACTCTTCTCCTGTCTGTCTTTTTTGCGCAGGAGGTTGATAAAAATAGTAGGCTGCAGTATTATAAACTGCACATAAGTATGTTTTACAAAAATATCATGTCGTATTGTTTCCCAACAGTGTTAATAGAGCTTTGTTAAGCGGTGATGCCACATAATTTATGTGTGTGCATAAGCATCACTGATATGCCCAAAAATAGGGAACTGTAATTATTTAATAAAAATGAACATGTTAAAAGTCTCAGCACTATAATTAAAACTGCTTAGCACCAATGTCTGAACATGCTCAAAAGAAGATTCTTTGCAGACAGAAATGATAAAAAAAATGCAGCAGCATTCAAATCATATTAGAGAAATAAAGGTGATTTTAGAGTGAGATGATATTCACACAGATATAAACCTGGTGGGTTTGAGTCAACAAATCCAACATAGGCGTGTTAATGGGCTTTCTGGAGATTAAGCATCACTTAAACCACGCCAGCTCCCTGCACTTATCCTGTACCACGGTCGTATCACCAGCCAAAGATACATCACAAATATTTACTGGTGGGCTAAAACTGTTTTTAAAAAGGCCCCAAACTTAATGTTTTATTTAAAGGCCAATATTGTTAGTGTATGGACAGGTGAAGTGGGTCTTTCTTTATGGCTTCAGGAGTTTTAAAATGTGGGTCTACTGAAAATAGCACACTGTATTTTCAGAAATGCATCAGCAGAAGTGGTTTTGTAAAAGCCCTCACATGCTTGTACTATTATACTGACCAATTCTGATGCGTGTGGCCTTTCATTCTGTGCTTTGAGTTCTGTTGCACTTGCTGAGCTGTCTGTTCACACTACATAATTGTTCCCTGTGTACTTCAGTTAAAGTCATTACCACGGAGATAATGTGATTCCTTTTTGTCTCGTTCTTTAGATAAATTTTGTTTTCCTCTTCAACATAGTCAGAATACTAATGACCAAGCTAAGAGCCTCAACCACATCTGAAACAATACAATACAGGTAAGGTCGTTTACCGCTTCCCATGCCTTTACATTATATTTGTTTCTCTCAAAGAGAGCGTGCTTTAGGGCCATGAAAAATGCATTAAGCTGAAAAGGGAAACTTACAAACAGTGTCAGATCTAATTTCATGCAACTCAGTGCCCTTACAGTCACTGTTTGAAAGGAGATTACTGACATAAATGGATTTATTGATGATATTACCACGATCAAATCAGTGCAAAGTGTGTTTAAATCTATAAAAGTCACAAATCATTTCATCTTGCAATGTAATCTTTAGGCAAAGTATTACAAGTATTACCTGAATTTACAAATAATTTATCACATAAATTTAGAAACATGTTTCCATATCTCAGTAGAAACATTCTGAATTGATATACAATAGAGGCTTCAACAGCTAAACCCAACCATATTTGGGTTCTCACCATTTCTATTTCAGTTTCCTCCTCTTTGCCCTCTCCTTTGCTGCCAAAACCTGTTTTGAAATTTGGGACATTGACTGGAGTCTCACTCATTTATACATATACCTAAGTTTTTGTCATGACCTCTGAGACTGTGAATCTATGCCAACTTTCGGCTGAGGATTTACCAGCTGCAAGAGAGATGCATGATAATAAACCAAAATCTCTCCATTTTGCTGCAACATAATGCCAATGACGTGTATAATACACAAGTAAAGCTTTATTGATAAAATATAAACATTCAAAGATTTGATATGTTAATTATTGCTTGGAAATCAATCTGTAGTAGAAAATCAATCGGTAATGAATTAAACTCATCAAGGAGCTACAACTGCTTGTCAGTGACTTTCAACTGGATCATTGAGAATGGATTATACTCAAAATACAGAGTTGTCCCTTTCTACAAATCAGGCATCCTCTATCATAAGGCAGTTATATATCATGACAATGCAAATATGACTTTTTTTTCTTTCTTTCCTCTTTTTAACACAGTCTGCCACTGACAGTAGCAGCCACTTCCAACATCAGCTTGGCTGACATTCAAGTTTCTATTTTGGTAACTGTAGAAATGAGGCTGCTAACGTTCTTTCCATATCTTCACAGGAAAGCAGTAAAAGCTACACTAGTCCTGCTACCGTTGCTGGGCATCACCTACATGCTGTTCTTTGTAAATCCAGGGGAGGATGACATCTCACAAATAGTTTTCATATACTTCAACTCCTTTTTACAGTCTTTTCAGGTGAGAATAAGATTACTAATGCAGCGCATTAGTGGCCGACAATTAAAAACCCACGCGCAATGTTCTTAATTAGAATGTGAATAAATCTGAGCGATTTACTGTGTAGTATTAAAGAAGATGTGAGTCCTTCCGTGGGAAAATACAGTATTTTGAGATTGCATCCTGGCTCACTAGGTCCCTCCTACCTTATGTTCAGTGCTCTCAGCTGTCAAGATTAACAGGGTCATGTGGGCATGATTTTTGCTTTGTGGGTAATTCTTTTGCTTTTTTTCCTCTATCCTCTGGACTTGAGTGTAAGACTGAGTGGGAAGGCAAATGGGGAATTTAAATGATACCTGAAGAATTGTGTTTGCCATGTCAAGATTTTCTCATGAAAATACAATTCTTAATTGTGCTTAACTTCTTCTGAATGACTGCACTATCTGAATGCCATGTTTAATTGAGGCGATAATGCATGACACAGCCCCATTTTCTGCTCCAAACAATGATGTGTTCGTTTCCACAGGGATTCTTTGTGTCAGTGTTTTACTGCTTTCTCAATGGAGAGGTAAGTCACTAGAGCTTGGTAAATTACAAAATGTTTTTTAAATGTATTATTGTAATCATTTAAATGCAATCTTACATTGATCTCCTTTACCGAGATAACAATTCTGTTCAAATTTCAGTCAGATTTGGCTGGGTTGTTTTTCAGACTAAATTAATTTGAATTTAAATTTATGCTTTAAAATTTTCCGTTAATATTTTCAAGATTGTGGGACAATGGTGCATAAATATGATAGAAAACCCTCCCTTACTTCTATCATTTAATTTAGATATTACTTAAAGCTAATGACCAGAACGCTAACAGCTGGTTGATAGTCATTAAATATAATGCAAAGGATTAAATATTTGATACTAACCGTGTAGAATAACAAACCCAATCGGCCCAAACAAATTTCTTCCTCGTGTGCAGCTAAGCTTTAGCTGGAGCAAAGATAACTTTTTTTCATACACACAAAGTTATCAAGTACAAAAAACAGAGAAACATCAAATCCCTTCGGGAAGATTTATTGCATCCATACAAAATATACTATTTTTGGAGTGGTCCGTGCAAGTAACATTTTGCCAATTTATAAAAGATTCTGCCATGCATTTTCATCTAGTTAATCATCACATAAAGTACCTCAGCAGCTGTTTACTGTATTAGCACTTAACTTATTTCATGAACGTTACACCCCTCCCAGCTATGTTTTTTTTTTTTTTTTTACAATTTTGGGTCATGCATCATTCTGACTCCCTTTAGCTACTACTAATTGTGTCACATCTGTTTGTTAAATCCGTGAAAAGCCCGTGAAAAATAGCCTCAGATGCTTTTACTATGTAGCTTAAAATGTTTTTCAAGCATCCCTGCTTGAGCTCTGCAATCAAGCCTATTCACTTAGAGAAGCAATGGGAAATTTGAATCTGAAAAACATGTATCACTATATATATATAGTGATATATATATAGTATAGTATTCAATCAATGTTTCTATTTTTCCATATAATGTCAGGTCCGCTCTGCCGTAAGGAAACGTTGGCATCGCTGGCAGGACAACCATGCACTTCGAGTACGAGTGGCTCGGGCAATGTCAATCCCCACATCTCCCACCAGGATTAGTTTTCACAGCATCAAACAGACCACTGCTGTGTGAGCTGGGGAACAAACACATTATCTCCACTGACATGCTCTTTCAATCCAAGTGGAGAGGCTTCATCTTCTTCATTGACGGACAATGAGATGATTTTACAAAGCAGACTGATTCCTCTACCGCATCAAAAGTGTGCCTGCATGTTTCAAAACGAGTCCTTTTGTTTGGCTACGTTTCAAACTGACAGAAAATGCATTTTCCGATGGTTGCTCATTTTATAATAATGCAAAATACATTGGTGATGGGTTTGTCTAAAGACTTGAGCGATCAGAAAAAGAAACATAGCATTGTAAACGTATCACAACAAGTCTTACTGTGTTTCTGTCAGTTACCTTGCTGCTCAGTGCTTAGTGCACATCATTTCAAAACTACTGCTTATAGGCACAAAGCTTCATTGTTACTCCGTAGGAAGAAAAACATGAATACTTGAACTATGATTTGATGCATTTATGTATAAAGTCATAATGCAAAAGAAAGAAAAAAAATATTGCATTTACTCTTCTAATGATTTGGCATCAACAGCTTTGTGTCAGTTTAATTTACGTGTTTGCTTGTTTTTTTTTTTTCCAAGTATAACAGACAGGCTGTTGGGAGGAATGAGATTGGCCTAAATAAGAAATTCAAACTGAGTCTAAAGACCTTTGAATGATATGACTGGGTATTCATTCAACTATATTAGCAAAAGTTCTATGATATCTTTTCATCAAACTGTTCATCTAGACAAGTTTCACATGCATTTTCTGCAACTATGATATTTTATTTCTTGTTTTTTTTAATGGTGTACTGTATCAAGCATTTCCTTAGTTTTTGTTCACAAGGTTTAACTTCAGCTATCATCCAGCCATGTGTTCCAACCACTCTGTTAACCCTATCTGTCTGACCACATGAACAAGGGTGCCAGCAGCAAAAGAAGACACATATAATTAGTCTAGGACATGTTTGAAGTCACTACATTAACTTGAAAAGTCAAAATAAGATTATAGACATGCTATTTTATCAAGTGAAGGTGAGTTCTAGTCATTTATGTAATGTATGTATACAGCGTAAGTGCTGAGTGTGGACTTACCATGCATTCACAATGAAAGCAGATTATATTCATTTGGCTTTGTGAAATCCTTGTGGCTTTCTCATAATCAGTGTCACTGCTAAGCCTGGCCTTCTAAAGAAGCCAGGCTTGATGGAGAGAACCAGCCGCCCCCAAGAGACTGCCTCTGGTCAGGTCAGCAAACTGTGTGTATGTCATGCCAGTCTTTACGTCTCCAAAGGCTTATCGCACAACTGCAATGCCATTCGTCTGGTTTGGCAACATTAAAAAAACAACATATGTTTTTCCTGATGGATAAAAAGGAGGCAGGAAGTTCTGGCATGTATTATAAATCTAAAAGCCTGCATTATGTTGCAACCTTAAGATTACTTTTCGTTTTTATGCTGATGCATCTTATCACGGCACCACATTAATTACATATTTATTTTTGTCTGTCATGTGTGATGTAATGATTCAGAATCTTAGGAAACATTTGGAGAAATGTGCCCCAAGAGTTTTGTATTTCATGTAGATTAAACAAAACAAAGTATTTCCGTTACTACTTATGCTCAATCATTACCAATATTAACTCTTTTCTCTACAGCTGCATTTGCAGTGTATGGACAAGATTACCATAATTGTTGAATAATGTTGATAATGTAGAAATATCAACACACAATTTGAAATGCATAATGTTGTTTTAGATTCTTTAAGAGGAAAACAATTGATATATTTTTAAAAGGCTCTGTGTTTAAGAGTGTTTTAAGAGAATGTGAAATATTTAATCAACTGTTTAAGTAAAATATGCTTTTCATATGTGTATTTTGTAAACTTTTGTTACGTTACGATAGACTTTTGATGTCAGTGTTCTGCTTGAATGGACTTGTGTTAGCTGGTTCATATAATATTGATCACACAATGTAAAATCGCAAAGTTGCACAACCTTCCATGACCTCATTATATTACACAAACTTAAAAGGACTATGTAACATTACAGCATGGGAAAACAGAAATTCTTTATTTCAAACTCACCAAAGAGACTAACCCATGTTTACCGAAATACAAAGTTTTTACTGTCTACATATTTTATATTGCCACTGGATTTTGTCAGCAAAATCTTTTAACCTTATTTCATACATCAGTTATTGTATATAAAGTGTATCTAATGTAAAATGTTTGATGTAAAATGTGCTGATTTTAAGGATTTTGTTTTTTGTTGAACCAACCCTGTTGCCTTAGAAACAAAAAGAAATGCATTTTTGTGAGAATGAAAATGTTGTCACTATAAAGTATGAATTGTGTTATTAATATATACTTGTACCTGTATATGTCAAATGTCATTCATTTAAATAAAAAACACTTATTTTTTATGTCTGGCTCATTTTTAAAGGATTGCATAGAGGGATGTGTCATCAAAAGTATTTCCGAAATTCTTATGGTGTATTGTTTTTATTCAGTAACTATGAGCTCTCAGTGATGCCACATATTTCATGAATGTTCAATGTTCAAACACATTCTTCTGATGGATTCCAGCAGTACTGTTACTGTAGTATATGATTGGATATTTAATATTTGATCAACTGAGTGTGTGCCCATTTATATATATATATATATATATATATATATATATATATATATATATATATATATATATATATATACACATATAAAACGTAGAGGGAAGATGCCCTAAGACGATGACTGCTAGATGTAGTTTCATGGATTTCAGCCTGGACTGGGGTGAAATGGAGCAGAAAATATAGCCCTTAGCCCGAACCCTAAGGACTGCATGACTTACACATCCTCAAACACAGAGCCAGGATGCTGATGAAGCCTTAAAGCTTGCTATACCAACTCATACCAACTTAAATGTAGGGCAAAACCTTTGAATGTGTGAATTAAAGACCGCATGGACAGAGATCAGACAAAAAAGTGACATCTTGCCAGCATCTATGAAATAACTGCTGCAAAAGACAAACTGTTAATCAACAGCTCTCTCTGTTGGCTAAAGAGAGGAAGTACTACTAGGCCTAAAAAATCCTTTTAAATATATGTATTTCTACATATTTTCCCTGATCATAAACCTGTTAAAATTATTATCTTTGATTAGCCTTACTGTATATATACACTCATGTATGGTTACATCTAATCAGGGGTATCTGAAAAAAACAAAAACAACTTAAAGTGAACAGATTGAGTTTCCTCATGGGAACATTCAATAAACAGCAACACGTTTGCCTAGAAAAAACAGGACACCGTTAAAATGAATGCATTTATTTACCATGATGTATAAAATGCACGTAGGTACTCAACATCAGCATTTGGAGTCTTAGAAAACAAGGTGAATTATTCATGAGTTAGATCCATCCATGACTGATGAAAATGAAAAATATACAAGATGGGTGCTACAGAATGATGAAGTTCTTCTCCGATCAAAAATTCACAATCTTGGTTTTCCAGTAAAGGAGAGACAAACTCATTAATCACTCTCATTGATTTCAACATGTTTCTACGATGTAGCACCAGAATGACAAAAAGGCTTCAATAGTGATAAGCCCATTTTATGATGCCATTATATACTTTACAAAAGCTTCATAGTTTATGCAACCATTAGCATCCTCCTGGTTTTGCATCAGCTGTTCCACTTCATCCTCTCTCATCTTTTCCCCTGATGAAAAGACAACAGTCAGAACACTGTCCACCATTTTGACAACACTTTCAGAAAATCACCTTTGATTTAGACTTACCCAGCGTTGCCAGAACATGCCGGAGCTCAGCGCCCATGACTGTACCGTTCCCCTCTTTGTCGAACACCCTCAGGCCCTCCACGAAGTCTTCAAATGTTCCACGGTCCTTGGCCTTGCAAATATGTTGATGAATAGGTAAAAACTGGTCGAAATCAAGCATCTTAGTCTGCATGTCTGTGGAAGGGAAAGACATTGCTGACTTGGGATCCAAAAAAAGAAAAGAAAATAACAAATGGAGAGGTTTGAGTCTGCGTTTGTCAGGCGGTGCCTTTGAATCACATCCAGCACAGACCATTAACACCAATTTGCCGCACACAGAGCAGAATAGTCCACCTGGCTAAACAACTCACCTTCAGCTTTGGGCTTTCCAAGGACGTACATAATTTCTGCATTAGTAGGATTCTGACCCAAAGCCCTAATTAGGTCACCACATTGGGCATAGGTGATTTTCATCTCGCTGGTTGGTGTTCTGTCAAACAGCTGGAAGGCATCTTTGAAGTCTGTGAACATGAAGAATGGAGATTATGCCCTCTGATTTCTGCCGCTTTTCTTGTAATCCAAATTTCACTAGAGATGCTGCATGTGTAGCAAAGTAATCATTTTGTAATTTCATGCTTCAGATAAAAGCGTCTTCTCCCTGCATGAAAGAGTCAAACGTTGAAGAGTCTTACTCTACCACTGTCTGAAATACTCCTAAAATATTTGTGATTATTTGATGTGTCTGATCTACAGTACCACCAGCTGTTGCTAAATGTTTCTCACACACTTGATGGAGTGCACGATCACATAAACCATTTATTCCCGCTATAAATAACGGACAGACCATGGGACACAAACGACAAATGGAACAGCTATCTAAGCCTCACCCTCAAGTTGCTCCGGGGTGAATTCCAGCTGAGGAAAGACAAAGTAAACAAAGCAATTAGAGGTTTTTGATCATTCAGGTCAGCAGAGAAGAAGAAATTCAACGGAAAGAAAGGAAAAGAGTTAGAAAGGAACTGAAGAACTTCTTGGACATAATGACTTTGCCCCTGCCTGATCTGTCAGTGGCTTTGGGTCTAACAGCCCCTTTGTACGGGATGTCCGCTCTTCATCGCTGCCAGCTTCATTTAGGCTTATTTTTAGATACGCTGTGGCAGAAAGGCATTAGTAGAGTAGACTCTTCTAAAATATAATATTTTACGGTTAAATGCTGACTTAAATCTATAAACTTATGAATGGAAAGCAATATGACCAAAATCTAATTTTATAGTTTAAGAAGAGAAAAACGTCACTGTTAAAACAGCTATGATGAACAGCTTTGTGCTTCAGTAATATGCTTTTCTGTGGTGAGTTTAAAAATAAAGCCGTATTTCAAACACCCACTGCCATTTTCAACTTATGGTACACTGTGAATATTCTGGACTTGAGTCGGGTTGCGCCTTGAGTTTCTGTCTAATGTCAGGATATCTATAAACCCCACACTCTACGCAAAACTTTGAGAAAACATTATCAAAACTTATCTCAGCATGTTTAAAGATGGATGGCATTGGCTATAATTATCTATGTTTTTCTTCCTCCTGGTTTTTCCACCCCTTTTTACCCTCCGAAAAATGGTGCGGGTGGTCTGCTATCCACAGACATAATAAAAATCATATTTTGTGGCTTCAACCGCTCTCCATTGTAACATGGCGACTAGCTGAAGCAGGAAAACATTAACCCACTGAGAAGGGGCCAAGTCAGCAGAAGACGAACATTCCATGATGTCTGATACACCAATTAGTTTGCTTCTGGGCCTCGCCCTAGCAAAAGCTTGCAGCTTCTATGACTGTAACAGACATCTTGTTACACGTACTGAGTAATCTGAAGTAAAAAGTCTAAAGACAGGCCTTACTCTTTTAATAATCTGTGCTGCGGAGCTGGGATTGCACTGTCAAGTTTAGGTCACAGGGGGTCTCTGATGCTCTGCAAAATGTTAATGTTAACGCTAAACAGTTTGCATTGAATGAACAAAATTATTCAAACTGAATGATCTAAATGTAACCTTAATTCCCAGAGCCCCATTAAGATTTCCTAGAGGATAAACAAAATTGTGTAAAACATGTGCATAGAGGTTGATGGTTTACCGTCACGGTTGCCGGGTCAAAGTCTGGAGTTTTGGGGCGCTCGGGCTCTGGAGGTTTGGGAGGCGCAGCTGGTTTGGGCTCTTCCTTCTTCTTGGGGGCCATTGCAATGGGCACTCAGGACCGACACGGCAAAGCGATCCTGGACACTGGGGGCAGAGATTGGCAATTAAAGCCCCTTTATCCACTCCACAGGTGTCACACCCACCCCCCTTTTCATTTCCAACAATGGTGCCAACAACAGGGAGGACTATAAAAGGATATGCCTTTGTGCTTCTATTTAAGACAAAGGTTGTTGTTGTGTGTGACTGCGTGTATGTGTGAGCATTAAAGGGATGTGGATGATGGAAATCCACATTAGCTGAAATCCCAGGCCCGAAACCGTCCACTAAACAGGCTGTTTTAATCAACACAAGTGAGACCTCCTGTAACATTACCAATTTTCAGCCGATGACCTTGTTCAGTGAAGTGTGGCATTTATTAGTGGGGAGGGATGAAGAAAATGATGATTGCTGAACAAGAGATGAAGGTTTCACAGTTGTACCAAATTGAAGTGTGATGAGCTGCAATTATCCTTGATTATTTTTAAAACTTCTAACCAATGAGAGACTTATTCACATCATGCAATAGACAAAATCCTTACGTTAATGGCCATTTATCTCGCCTGGTCAGAGGGATTTGCAGGGGCTTAGACTCAAATCCATTTCAAAAAGGGGTGAAGAATGTTGTCTGTGTCTGCTCAGTCTTTTGAGTGTAGCAACATGTGAACAAGCCTCTCTATGAAATGAGTGTCAAAAACATATGATCCTGGAACAAAACACTTGTGGCCTATATTATCATTGAGAGGCTGCGTTTTTTGTTGTTAACATTGCAGTAAAATAAAGATCACATGCGAGGGAATAACTCAAGATTACATTTAATAAAATTGCAAATTAATCTGAGTGTAGAATCTTCTCAGGGCTATGCTTGGTAGTCATAATAGTATGACGGCTCTGGTGATCTTAGACTCAACAAGCGACAAGTTTAGGTTAAAATGGTAAGTAACATGGTGCTCTGCAACATTTGATACCAAAAATCTACGTCAATCAGATATCATAATATAGAAATCTCTTTTTGTCCTACAGCCCTAGTGTAAAAGAGCTTTCATTATTTGTTGACAAAGCTTTGATTGCTTATTAGAAATCATACCCACATACATTTAGTATTCCTTGTATTTTCTCTGTTTTATTCAGATCCAAAGTGACCTTCTGGCTTACCTCTATGTGTGGGTAGTTATTGTGTAGAGCATTTACAGCTTCTAATCACTGTCTGAGGCACTTAAACTGCTTTTGCATAAGTCTGTCCAAATCTTCCTATGACTTTTTCCCAAAAATCCTCATGACCTATAATAAAGCTTTGTCAGTAAAGTATTCCCTCATAATGGTATGTTAATGAAAGTTGATGTGTTTCAACATTTTTCCACGCACAGAATTATCACAGAAAGCAATTAACTTCATAATGTAATGGCCTGCTAAACATATTGTGTTGACAATGAATTCAATTGATTGCCAGAGTGACAAATACCGTGGATAAGTCCACAATCCAAGATAATCAGAATTATTGTTGTTATTCAAAGGCTTGCGCTCTTATACAAATGCCCCTCAGATCAAAACTCTAGCCTGTATTTAGAGGCTTCATTCATTAATTTATTTTCAATCATGTGTTTACCAAATCTATTGTCAGGAAGTACCCTAAAAGCCTGTTCATCCTGTTGGTTTGTTGCCCTGACAAGGGAAGTTCAATTTCAAGACCTGTTTATCACGTAAAATTCAGTTTTTGAGTATGATGATAAAATATGAACGTTTTTGGTAGCTCATTCTTCTGTAGTACAACCTGTTGGCTGAAGGTCTCCTTGTTTTGTGATGATCAAATAATTGTTGCTGAGTTCTTGGGAGTGATCATCACCCATGTTCAATTCTTTAACTCAGATAAGCTCAATTCTTATATCAGCCAAACAAAAGTAATCCTGCTCTGACTGTCCCGTCCCCACGTCCTGAAGTCTGTTGTAGCTTTTAATAGATGGGGCATAAAGTCTAATAATAATCACCACTTTAGAGCATGCTGCAGAAACAATAGCTCATGGCTGCAGTTTGTTCCTCATTATTCTAAAACAACACATGACAAAATTTGTTAGTGTCTAGCTAGAGATACCCATGTATAGACACAGACGAAAACTGTGTGCGTGTATAAATGGATCCAACCATGGGTCACCGCCGGCCCCCTCTTTCAGATCTTGCCAGGTGACTGTCATTGACAGCCCGCAGCAGCAATTTGGGATATGACCAACCGCGTACAGTCAAGATCTTAAAACATTCAAGACCTGTGCAGTTTGCTATTTTGGAGTTGCTCTGTGGTGGGACTGGTATGGTATGTAGCTTGGAAAGGCTCCAGTCTGCGCACAAAGCCAATTGTTTGTCGGATACATCAGATGTCCTTCAGTGCAGCTGTAACCTCTGCTGTATTGTGCCTGAATAAAAGTAAGACTCTCTTATAGCCACCCCCCCTCCCCCCAAAAAAGAAAAGAGTCAGACATGCACTTTGAAATACATTAGTTGTTTAATTAAATTACAAATCCATCTGAACTTTGAATCTCAGACAATCAGTCTCAGCTTTCAACGTGTGATGTTTAAGAGTAAATTAGTTCTCTGTGAAAGTTGACAGCTGGAGACACAAGACAAGAGCCTACGGTCAATGATTTCAACTCCAGTCATCACCATCCTTCAGTTTATCATTGTTCAGGTTACACATGGAAAAGATCAATAGTTTTTTTCTTAATTTTTTGTGATTGTGCAAAGGTTTTATTTTCTGTTTTTAAACACAGAAATATATTTTGTCTGAAAAGGAAAAGGGGTAATTAACTAAAATAAAGTCACAGTAGCATTTTTTTCTTTTTGAATTTAAATCTCCTTATGGGTGTACAGGCAAAAGCTGCTAAAATGACTTTCTATTACTGCTCTGTGAAAGTAAGGGGGCTGCTGCCCAGCAATCATTTACGAGCACTGGGGATACAGTATTCCTGCCAATGTTAATATTAATAAAGTGGTTAATATACCGGCTGGATTCCTGGCAGATGTAGCAACTTCATTATCAGATGCAGAAGGCAGTCAGTGAAGTGAAGAAGCATGTAATTAAGCTACGTCCTGTCCAACTAGGACCCACTGTGGTACTCAGTTTAGAGAGCCGAGGAAGCCATCACACCAGTCTGAACAGGCTCGATTCCAGCATGGACTGTGTTTCAAGAATTTTTGGCCAGGAATTCCATAAAACGGAAAACAATATAAACAAAGATTTTAGGGGTTCACAGAAGGGTTTTTTTCCCCTCTTAAATACACCGACAGTACACATATTTGTGACAGTGTGTTTTACCTATGAGCCGCATATGGTTTATAAAAACCTAAACATAAGCTGTCATAGGTTCACTCTGTCACAAAAATTATTTACTTCAAAAGCCAAAGGTTCATGCATCAAAGATAACACTCTGCGAGGTAATGAGGAGGAAGTATTAAAAAATTCAGACTCAGTATGTCACTCCACAAGCCTTTGTTAAAGGTTGTCAGCATCCATGCTGTCAAACGCCAGCAGCCAGAGCTGCAGCTGAACGCTGCCCTCCAATGGTCACAGAGTTAGCGGGTATAGGAACTGCTGGCTTTTCCATCCAATCTCCTCTCAGCCCTGTATGTTTTTAATTAACAACCTAATCAAATGACATGAGCACTTTGATGCAGAAACAAATGACTGAATCCCGTACTTTTTTAGGTCAACCTTGAAAAGCGTATCCTCACATTAGTTTGATGTCACCTCAAATACTCCCATCTCTTTGTCCTTTGTGCAATTATCTGCCCGTGTCCTCTCTGTACACCTACAACTCTCTAACTGTCACGATTCAACGAGGACAAAGGAGAAGATTTATTCTATCGACTGATTCTCTTGGGACATTGTTTTTTTTTCTCTGCAGAACAGCAGGTGTCCTCTCTTCTGTGACAATGATAACCTTGCTCTGAGGCGACAACAACACACCAACACTCAGTCAGTCTCTCATTAACTTTAAATTACACTCTCAGATTTGATCTCACATTGCGGAGACAGCATTGGGGTAACTAACAGTCATTTCGGCTTAATGTTTTTCATTTAACTCCAGCCACTGTGTTACTATTGATCGGTAAGATGTTCCACTCTGCTCTGTGTTCCGTCATTTTCGTTCACCAGCCACATCCTTATTCAGACCAGTGGAGCAAAGATAAACTTTAGAAATATCAAAGTTTATAAGGAAAGCCATGTTTTTAATGGCTCTAATAACCCTATTTTGTGGTTTGGCTGCCTATTTGAAGTTAGAGGTTATGTTTCATCTATTTCTCTATCTCTAATCGGCCGCTGATAAAAAAAAGGACTCATGAACGAGCTCTAACTGTCCTTGACATCCTAAACTGTCAGTTTCACAGATGTTTATAAACTTTCATGTCATTGGAAATACAGAGCATAAGGCGGGTATCTATTATCAAAATGTTTCATGATTATTGAAATGCTCACTTCATAATACCCTCACTTATATTTGGTTCCACAAACTCCTGCTAGGATGACAGACCATGGACAATTCTTGGCACTGTATGCTGAAAATAACTTCCACCGCTGTCATTGTTCCATTGTTATTGGCTGAGGTTTGCAGGAGTCCCTTTTAAAAATGGCAGATTTCAGCTCCCTCAAACACGCTTTCATTGTAAGTCAGGTGTAATTGCTAGTCAGCTTAGAAAAGGAAACTTTTTGATGTTTCAACTGTGACTTTGGTGGATGTTTACTTCATGTCAACATGCTGTTGAAAAGACATCTAATCTCTTCCTGACAATGGTAATTGTACAGTATGCAACAATGGAAGCAAGATGGGTCACACGTTGTTGTAGAAATTCCATCACGTTTTGTTGTGGACATTGTGATGTTTTTCTTTTGGACTTAAATTTCTTGCCTATGCATAGGTTTGCATTGCTTCTTCAAGGAACACTCTTTGTTTCCCACTTTCCATGGAACTGCATAACAACAAGACTTAGCAAATACTGACAAAAGAGTCAAGCTTCAATGTCTCAACTTTTGGCTTGACCATATTGGTTCAGTGCATCGTATTGTGGATGACTGAAACCCCCACTCTTAAATATGAATCCGAGCCTCATTAGATATGTCGACGAGTTTCTCTTTTTCGCTCCTTGTCCAAGAAGGATCACATATATTTC